GGGGGGGCGGTATCCAGGTATCTGATATTTCTGTTCAGATTGTCATCATGGCTCTGTGGTGGAGTATGCTGCTACTTACCACAGGTCTGTGGATTTGTCTATACTGAGAGTATCATGAATTAAGGTCAGTTACACTGATAATTGAAGTCTGCTAAGCTTTACAAACAGAGCACAAGTATTCCTACAAATAATGCCTGCCAGGGGGGGTATCCTTGTAATGCTGTACAAAAACAGTCTGGATAAGCTGTGGCTGTAAGAACCAATAGTACAGGACAGATACGTGTTGTTTTACTTTTGATGGTTTACGAAAGGATTTCCTACACGCCAATATCTGAAACAGTGATGCCTGAACAGTAGACATAGTAGTGAATAAAGTCCTACACGCCAATATCTGAAACAGTGACGCCTGGACAGTAGACATAGTAGTGAATATAAAGTCCTACACGCCAATATCTGAAACAGTGATGCCTGAACAGTAGACATAGTAGTGAATAAAGTCCTACACGCCAATATCTGAAACAGTGACGCCTGGACAGTAGACATAGTAGTGAATAAAGTCCTACACGCCAATATCTGAAACAGTGACGCCTGGACAGTAGACATAGTAGTGAATAAAGTCCTACACGCCAATATCTGAAACAGTGACGCCTGGACAGTAGACATAGTAGTGAATAAAGTCCTACACGCCAATATCTGAAACAGTGACGCCTGGACAGTAGACATAGTAGTGAATAAAGTCCTACACGCCAATGTCTGAAACAGTGACGCCTGGACAGTCGACAAAGTAGTGAATAAAGTCCTACACGCCAATGTCTGAAACAGTGACGCCTGGACAGTAGACATAGTAGTGAATAGTGCTGATATGGGCAATGGGTTTAAAAACATAATCCATAATCAGTTTGTAGTCAGAAGTAGTGAACAGATTGATGATCGATTGCATAATCGGTTTATAATTTTATGAGACCGAGTACCCAAATGAAGTGAGAACACTATTTTTCATCAGTAGACAGAGTTGTTAACTATGCATTAGGTTTCAGGGTTTTTATAATGAATGCATTTCAAACAATTTCTGTGCAGTTTTGATTTTTTTCTTTCTCTATATTACCATCAATCATGTAATAAAAATAGTAAGGAAAAACATATTGGTGACCTGTGAGCCCTCCACTGGGCTTTATATAATATTGACCTGTGAACTCCTTACTGGGCTAAATATAATGTTGACCTTTGAGATGTTCTCTAGGTTATATACATATGTAGGTGGTGTATATAAGTGAGTTTAATTAATCCTGTATATCCCAGATTATAAACATCTTCACCTTTGGCACGAGGCCTGAGATAGCATTGTGTTAAGTGTTAATCTCAGACATTTAAATTTGTTATGCTCTGGTTAGTGTATGTATAAAATTACAATTTGTAATAGGTCAAATCACAGTCCAGTGTGCACTTATTAAAGTTGAAATGTATTGGTCTGAGGAAATAGCTGCTAATTGAGTTATTTGGGATGGATTCAGAAAGGGTTATCATAGTCTGGTATGTATGTACTGTACCCATACAAACGTATCAATTTCTATTTTACTAGCAGGTTGATAAGCTTTTTGCTACAAATTTTTATTTATTTATTTTTTTGCTCCAAGATAAGATTGTTTTTGTAATATTTAATTGTCTTATTATGGCGACTTTTGTAAGTCAGTAATATGCCTATACATGCCGGTATATATATATTAAATCTTTTTCACCAACATGCAGGTTTAATCACCCTAAAGAAGTGACCAACAAGGTGCCGGGGGGATCCAGTCATGAGATGAGAGATTTTGACTTTGCCAGACAGGAGCTGATACAGGTTCAGGAGGCTAGGTATGTGTGTTTAAAAAACTGTGATGTGCAAGGTCAAAGTAGTTTTGGAGTTCATTTTTAAAGTTACTCATTTGCAGATGTAGTCCTAATAAGGAAGCTAAGTGTTATGTACGTCTAGTCCTGAACAAGCCCTTTATAAAAAAAAAAAAGTAGACTAAGTAACCATAAAACATTTTTCCAGATTTTTCATAACCAGTACATTGATGCTTGTTGTCATGGTTTCTCCACTCAAATTATATAAAGCAAATAGGTTCTATGGATTTGGTTCCTGAGTTACGAAGTTAATTGTTTTTAAATTAATGGTGATTTTTGCTGATTCCTAGATTACAGGCAGAACTTGAGGAGGCCAGGCGCCAGGCTCAAGAGGAGATGATGCAGGAAGTGGAAAAGGCCAAAAAGGAAGCAGAGCAGGTCCTCAATACACAAAAGTCAGGCTATGAAGGCAAACTAAAAAAACTGGAGAAAGTTGTTCAGGATCAGTCTCAGGAGGTCCAGCGTGCAGAACAGTCAAGACAGGAGGCACAGGGCCTCATAGAGGAGCTCAAGAAACAGAAAATAGTAAGTCAGGAGGCACAGGGCCTCATAGAGGAGCTCAAAGTACAGAAAATAGTAAGTCAGGAGGCACAGGGGCTTATAGAGGAGCTCAAAGTACAGAAAATAGTAAGTCAGGAGGCACAGGGGCTTATAGAGGAGCTCAAAGTACAGAAAATAGTAAGTCAGGAGGCACAGGACCTCATCTCAAAATGAGAAGCTGAATTAAAAATCATAAATAATACAGATTAATATTTATAATTATTAAATATATAAAATTGAAATATCTCGTGCGACTGATATGTGTGACAACAATGACATATGTATGTTACAGATGCTGGAACAGGAGGTGGTAGCCGGGAGACGACGACAGGAGATGGAGGCAAAGGTTGCTAAAAAGGTAAAGTTGATCTTACTCTGTGCTGATATCAGTAGGTCAGTGTTACAGCTTATTGTATATTTATCCTGTGTTAGGGATACACTTCACATTTACCAGTCATTGCAAGACATTGCAGTATTTTGATANCCCCCCCCCCCCCCCCACACCAGTATACAGTAGAGAACTATCGATTCTCACTATGATTGTCTGTAAGTGTGGCACCTTTTTGTAGGCCCCCCACCAGTATACAGTAGAGAACTATCGATTCTTACTCTGACTCTGTAAGTGTGGCACCTTTTTGTAGCCCCCCCACCAGTATACAGTAGAGAACTATCGATTCTCATTCTGACTGTCTGTAAGTGTGGCACCTTTTTGTAGCCCCCCCACCAGTATACAGTAGAGAACTATCGATTCTCATTCTGACTGTCTGTAAATGTGGCACCTTTTTGTAAGCCCCCCACCAGTATACAGTAGAGAACTATCGATTCTCACTCTGACTGTCTGTAAGTGTGGCACCTTTTTGTAGGCCCCCCCACCAGTATACAGTAGAGAACTATCGATTCTCACTCTGACTGTCTGTAAGTGTGGCACCTTTTTGTAGGCCCCCCCACCAGTATACAGTAGAGAACTATCGATTCTCACTCTGACTGTCTGTAAGTGTGGCACCTTTTTGTAGCCCCCCCACCAGTATACAGTAGAGAACTATCGATTCTCATTCTGACTGTCTGTAAGTGTGGCACCTTTTTGTAGCCCCCCCACCAGTATACAGTAGAGAACTATCGATTCTCATTCTGACTGTCTGTAAGTGTGGCACCTTTTTGTAGCCCCCCCACCAGTATACAGTAGAGAACTATCGATTCTCATTCTGACTGTCTGTAAGTGTGGCACCTTTTTGTAGCCCCCCCACCAGTATACAGTAGAGAACTATCGATTCTCATTCTGACTGTCTGTAAGTGTGGCACCTTTTTGTAGCCCCCCCACCAGTATACAGTAGAGAACTATCGATTCTCATTCTGACTGTCTGTAAGTGTGGCACCTTTTTGTAGCCCCCCCACCAGTATACAGTAGAGAACTATCGATTCTCATTCTGACTGTCTGTAAGTGTGGCACCTTTTTGTAGCCCCCCCACCAGTATACAGTAGAGAACTATCGATTCTCATTCTGACTGTCTGTAAGTGTGGCACCTTTTTGTAGCCCCCCCACCAGTATACAGTAGAGAACTATCGATTCTCATTCTGACTGTCTGTAAGTGTGGCACCTTTTTGTAGCCCCCCCACCAGTATACAGTAGAGAACTATCGATTCTCATTCTGACTGTCTGTAAGTGTGGCACCTTTTTGTAGCCCCCCCACCAGTATACAGTAGAGAACTATCGATTCTCATTCTGACTGTCTGTAAGTGTGGCACCTTTTTGTAGCCCCCCCACCAGTATACAGTAGAGAACTATCGATTCTCACTCTGACTGTCTGTAAGTGTGGCACCTTTTTGTAGGCCCCCCCACCAGTATACAGTAGAGAACTATCGATTCTCACTCTGACTGTCTGTAAGTGTGGCACCTTTTTGTAGGCCCCCCCACCAGTATACAGTAGAGAACTATCGATTCTCACTCTGACTGTCTGTAAGTGTGGCACCCTTTTGTAGGCCCCCCCACCAGTATACAGTAGAGAACTATCAATTCTCACTCTGACTGTCTGTACTCCTTGTGATTCCTGACTAACAGTGATCCCAGCTTTAGGGTGATTTAGAGTTAACAGTTAATTTATTTCCCCTAAGTTTGAATCCTATTACCTTGATTGTCAATAGGTTGCCGGCCATGTGTCTAGTGAGAAGTCCCCGCTCATCATCCTCCTGGAGGAGGAGAAGCAGAAAGTCGCTAGGAGACTGGAGTCACTCAAGCAGAAACGTCAGGAAACTTCACTGTCGAAACGTTACCAGGCGATGGATGTTCAGGCAGGGAAAGCTGACCTGTACAAGGTGGCTCTACTGCTCAGAGAGGCTAATAGAATAAGCCAGTACCTCAAGAAAAACATGGTAAGTTGAGTATTGGCATGTTAATTTACAGACGGCATCCTGAGGCTTAACAAAACCAATATGGGTTCCAAAATTTATAAACTCATTAGTGAAGCTTTTGAATCAATTTATCCCAAATTAACAAAGTGCCGGGGGATCTGTACATAAAACTGATTTTGAAGAATTGTTTCATTTATACCTGGATAACTGTAAGTGCAATATAAATTACAATAGTGTTGCTCTACTTAGTTTATGATACAGATTCTAACTTCCTACTGTGGTGAATTGGTTATATGTCGGGTTAGGGAGATTGTTTCAATCCTATTAGTAGAAGTACATGGATCATACTTGCGTCAATGCTACAGCTACGGTTGCCTTACTGAATGCAGGTTGTGAATGCTGAATTTGGCCTGGTTGAGTAACTTTATAGCTAAAAAAATGGTCTAAACCTTAAAAATATCCGGATAAAAAGAATAGTTTTGTCCCTATCTGGTAAGCAAGTAGTACATGGATTAAACTTTAAAAAAATTAATGTTGTTAACTAGAAATGTTTGTCATAATTTTGTGACAATTTAAATATTATTCATGTTTACACTATTGGTTTATGAATTTAAATGATTTCTATATGAATATAGCAATATGAACTGTGACAATCTGTATCATTTAAGATTGTACATTGAGCTTGTTACCTTATCTGACTTGTCAAGGGAGGGGGGATGTCAATGTCATAATCTTCATGTTGTAAAACAATTTGCAAACTTATGATAGTGTTAAATATGTTGTGATTGTTTCATTTGTATAGGAGTTCAGTCGTGAGGACTACATGGAGGAGACCAACCATGTCAAGACCCTGATCAAGGTCACAGACACCAATTTGGCAGTGTGTACTTTCTGGACCCTACCCAAGTTTGAGGAGAAACTTATGCAGATGAGGGATCTTTACCAGGTAGGTGTGGCAATTTTTGTAAAATGATGGATTTTATCACGTGGATTAGACACCTAGTGTAAAATTAGGGATGATAGGAGGTGGGTTTGTATGATATGTTAGATGTAGGATCTGAACTAGATGGGTGTGGCCCTTAATAACATATGAATAACATACTTGTAGCCATATTTTCAATGTATAACATAACTAGTTTGTCACAAGGTTTGAGGTTAACTCTTGGAGCTAACCATGTATTTATCGTAATTTGTACAGTGTTCCCTCTCACACATATGAAATATAATGCATGTGAATTTTATACAACTAATATAAAACTTTTGTTACAACAGAATGATGCTGATAATTCGGCCGATGATGAAATCTTTCATGATCCTAGTGATACTTGGGAACACGATCAGAAAAACTCGCCCTGCAAATCTCCTCGAAGGTATGATCATAAAACCCTTGTAATTGTCCCGAGGTACCAATGTTGAACCCCTGTTACACTTCGTGTAGAGATGAGCACAGCATCATAACACACACACATCTCCCTGTAGAGATGAGCATAGCATCATAACACACACCCATCTCCCTGTACAGATAAGCACAGCATTATAACACACACAAACATCTCCCTGTAGAGATGAGCACAGCAACATAACACACACACATCTCCCTGTAAAGATAAGCATAGCATCATAGCACACACACATCTCCCTGTAGAGATGAGCACAGCAACATTACACACACACATCTCCCTGTAGAGATGAGCACAGCATCATAACACACACACAACTCCCTGTAGAGATGAGCACAGCATCATAACACACACACACACATCTCCCTGTAGAGATGAGCACAGCAACATAACACACACCCATCTCCCTGTAGTGATGAGCGTAGCATCATAACACACACACACATCTCCCTGTAGAGATGGGCACAGCAACATAACACACACCCATCTCCCTGTAGTGATGAGCGTAGCATCATAACACACATACATTTCCCTGTAGAGATAAGCAAAGCATCATAACACACACACATCTCCCTGTAGAGATGAGCATAGCAATATAACACACACACATATCTCCCTGTAGAGATGAGCATAGCATCATAACACACACACATCTCACTGCAAGTATCTGTTTTACATCCAAGCAAATTTACCTGCAACAGTAAAAATTACACCTGCAAATTTTGTCATGTGTATGAAAGTAACTTTACTTCAAATTCCTGAAGTAAAATTATATTATAAATTAGATACCTGTACACAATGGTGTTTCTTTGTAACAGTCGATACAGCACTCAGGGGATGAGTCCCTTCCAGTTGCAGCGGTCTTCCGCCCTCGGTAGTACCTCCAGCTTCAACTATACTTCCAGCTTCAACAGTACCTCCAGCTTCAACAGTACCTCTACCCTGTGCAGTACCCCGCAAAGTAAGTCCCCAACATATCTTCATATACTTATCAAACACGTGACTAAACTGTCTCTGAATCCTTTATGCACTTGTTTAACAGTGCATTTACGTGTTGGTAGAGTGTTGTGTGTTTGGCAAGTACATCATTGTTACTGAGTGTACTGCTGTGTTTGTTCAGTGTATAGAGTGTTGTGTGTTTGGCGAGTACATCATTGTTACTGAGTGTACTGCTGTGTTTGTTCAGTGTATAGAGTGTTGTGTGTTTGGCGAGTACATCATTGTTACTGCGTGTACTGTTGTGTTTGTTCAGTGTATAGAGTGTCGTGTGTTTGGCGAGTACATCATTGTTACTGAGTGCACTGGTGTGTTTGTTCAGTGTAGAGAGTGTTGTGTGTTTGGTGAGTACATCATTGTTACCGATTGTACTGCTGTGTTTGTTCAGTGTAGAGAGTGTTGTGTGTTTGGCGAGAACATCATTGTTACTGAGTGTACTGTTGTGTTTGTTCAGTGTATAGAGAGTTGTGGGTTTGGCGAGGTTGTTACTGAGTGTACTGCTGTGTTTGTTCAGTGTATAGAGTGTTGCTATCCTATTTATGAGTTACATGTGATACATTGACAGGCATGACCAGTGTTGGTGACACCCAGTCAGGTGTAGACCAGGAGATACAGACGTGTTCCGGAGTACAGACAGCCAGCCTCTGTATCACACTTGTCAGGGACCATATTGATAACTGCCATGGTAAGTCTCTATCACACTTGTCAGGGACCATATTGATAACTGCCATGATAAGTCTCTATCAGATTTGTCAGGGACCATATTGATAACTGCCATGGTAAGTCTCTATCAGATTTGTCAGGGACCAGTTTGGCAAGGACACATTATGTCTGTATTAACTATCAGTCTTTTTTTCGGAGAGAAAATTGCTTTTTTAATCATGTCAAGGACCATATTAGTCTCTGATTTCCTTCAACTTGTCGTTTTTGATGTGTAAATGTTAGTTTACCGTGTGTAACCTGTGTGTAAATGTTTCTGTTTACAGGATTCTACTATGAGGAGAGTATAGGGGACAAGTTGCTCAACTGTTGTAATAAGATCATCCAGGGAGTGAATGTCATACAGAAATACAGCATACGCATACAGACTGCAGTTACAGGTAAGATACAGAAATACAGCATACGCATACAGACCACAGTTGCAGGTAAGATACAGAAATACAGCATACACATACAGACCACAGTTACAGGTATGTTATAGAAACACAGTATATACATACAGACCACAGTTACAGGTAAGATACAGAAATACAGCATACAAATACAGACCACAGTTACAGGTATGTGACAAAAATACAGCATAGGCATACAGACCACAGTTACAGGTAAGATACAGAAATACAGCATACACATACAGACCACAGTTACAGGTATGTTATAGAAACACACCATACACATACAGACCACAGTTACAGGTAAGATACAGAAATACAGCAACAAATACAGACCACAGCTACAGAGATACAGCATACACATACAGACCACAGTTACAGGTAAAATACAGAAATACAGCATATGCATACAGACCACTGTTACAGGTAAGATACAGAAATACAGCATACAAATACAGACCACAGTTACAGATATGTTACAGAGATACAGCATAGGCATACAGACCACAGTTACAGGTAAGATACAGAAATACAGCATACAAATACAAACCACAGTAACAGATATGGACCTAAATACAGCCAGTACATTTCATTCAATACTCCATAATGGATTTATGGATAATAAATTTGTAACATGTTATTTTTGCACTCATTGAAGAAAGCATAAACTAATAATTGTTTTATTGGCATCAAAAGCAAAACATAATGGAGAATACAAAATGTCACTATATTTTCCTTCTGATATCTGGAATCATTTCATACTTGTCAGTCCTAGAGTCCAACATTGTATCCCTGTTGTCAGTCCTAGAGTCCAACATTGTATCCCTGTTGTCAGTCCTAGAGTCCAACATTGTATCCCTGTTGTCAGTCCTAGAGTCCAACATTGTATCCCTGTTGTCAGTCCTAGAGTCCAACATTGTATCCCTGTTGTCAGTCCTAGAGTCCAACATTGTATCCCTGTTGTCAGTCCTAGAGTCCAACATTGTATCCCTGTTGTCAGTCCTAGAGTCCAACA